GTCAAAAACCAGGTCAAAGCGGTTGGCCCACTCGGGGTCCGTGATCGACTGCGACGTGTAGTCGATGACGCGGTCAGCACCCAGTGAGAGCACGAGCTCTTCGTTGGCCTTGGAGCAGACGCCGACGACCTCACGCGCGCCGAGACCCTTGGCGAGCTGGATCGCAGCCGTGCCGCAGCCACCACTGGCGCCAATGACAAGAACCGACTGGCCTGCTTGGAAGCCGTGCTTGGTGAGGGCCTGGTACGCCGTCACAAACGTCGTAGGTAGGGCCGCGCCGCGAACATACGAGAACGACGCTGGCAGCAGCGCCAGCTTGGAAGCTTTGCAAATAGCGTGCTCGGCAAGAGACCCATTCGTGCTGCCAAAGACTCGGTCGCCGACGGCAACAGTCGTCACGTCCGGGCTCACGGCCGTCACGACCCCGGCCAAGTCGAGACCGACGCCCTTGCCTTGCATCAAGAGCGCGGGCAGCTTGTAGTCTACATGGTATGCGTAAATATGTGGTATGGACCTGAGACGACAGTGTACCAATAGGGTTGAGGGATGCCGCCTTGACCTGCACGACGACACTGTCCTTGGCACCGACCACTGGCTTGGTCGCGTCGGGGTTGAACCAGCGACCGTTGGCCGCAAAGATGCTGTAGAGCACGGCGCGCATGTTGAATGGAATTGGAAAATGAAGACGACATGCAACTCGTTGGCGTGCGCTCTCGGGCGCGCTCCGAACGCACACGCGGGATCATGCGCGCATGCAGTGTCCGTAATGTGGATGTCGCGCCGAATCGGTATCCGGATGGCATACAAATGACAAGTGTACGAAGCCAGCGGTTGCGTGGTTTTAGCGTATCATGCCAAAGATGACTTGATCATGCGGATGCGACTAATCGAGCGAGGTCAACCCAACTTGGACAAGGAATGCTTGTTGTGTCAGTACAACACAGGGCATGTTGATTGAGTCGCTGCTGAAGTCGGCTGGCCGAATGCTTGTCTGTAGCGAGGCAGCTTAGGCAGGCGATTTGCTGAAGGGGTAGATATTCTACAATCAAACATCGATCGAGAGCTAGTCCGAGGTAACCGAGGTATACGAGCTGGGAGGAATGCGGATTGTCGAGCTATGTGCGCCTGTTACGCTCAATGTGGCATGCTCTTTAGTAAATATGCAAATGGTCGCAGCAACTCGAGTATGCCACATTAATCGTCTTGTCTGTATGAACTACCTGATGGGCCTATGTGCGTCCTAAACAGGGTAAGTGTGCCGTGTAGTTGCTGTCGCAGCGCATTACTGGTACCAATGGATAAGTCACTGGGCTGCAGGCGCGTTGGCTGAGGATTTTTCATCGTCTACGTGGGTGTGTTGTGTCTTGGAGATCTGCGTCTCGAGTGCCGGGGCTGTCACCGGCGCAGCACGTTTGGGTGCGGCGTTGCAGGTTTGCTGCAGCCTTTTCGCTGCGTTTGTCGGGCGGGCCTTCCGTTGCTTTTGATGCTCTTTGTTTTGTGTTGCAGAAACTTTCTCTTTGCTCGTCATGCACAACAAGGGCATTCTATTGACCTCTGATGGGCAATGACCACCAAGCGACAATCAATTTGTTTGAATTGCTACACGCTGTCCAATCCGAGTACTCTAGACCTACAATTTCAACCAATCAAATCAAACCGACTGACACTCCTGGTGCATTAGTAAACAGAGGTTTCCAACTGCCAGTATCAAGTTTTAAAGTACTCGCCCGCTGCGCTTGCCAGCTCATTTCCCGTTGCACCTTTTCTTACGATGTCGTCCGATACGAAAGGCACGGCCGCGCATGCGACGAGCCACGGTAAGCAAGAGCCAGTCCGTGCTCCATCAGCTCCTTGGACTACGCCGTGCTGCCCCCCAGCGGAACTCAGCAGCATCGAAGACGAAGAAGATGCCGACACTGACGTTGCCGCCATTACGCCTCCGGTCAAGAGCCTCAACAAGAAGCCCCCTGCAATGGTCGAGTCGCGCATGACGAACGCGCTTGTCAGTGCTCATGGAACCACGCCCACGATTCTAATGCCATACTGCATGCTACTAGGTCTTTGACCTCCATACATTTCTACAAACGTCCCAAGCGGAGGCGGCATACACCGCCCTGTGGTCGCTGGTCGCACTTGGAAAAATGCTGCCCACGGCGATGGTCTTCTCGGAGTGCCTCGATGTCGCGGAGAACTCGGACTCGTCGTACAAGAAGACGGTCGAGATCTGCGCGTTGCTCACCGACTAGTACTTTTTTGACTGCGCGTCGCTTGGCCACGTCATGCCCGAGTACCCCGACAAATGGGAAACCGTGGGTGCACGCTTGCGGACCATTGCGACCATTCCCATGGACGACACTTGGCAC